AGCATCTCATGGAGATTACAAGCTGTATATTAGTAATACATGCTGTAATGCACAGCGTGTCACAAGAGCAGCTAAAGAAATACATGATGACTGTATAAATCTATACAGTTCTATTACATAATTGTTCTTCTATTAATTTCCGAAGTGCATTTACTCTGCAAGCAGCCCTTGCTGGGAGTTCTGCATAATGTGCAGAATCTGGAGGGCCATGCTCATCAGAATAGATATATATCCTGCATATATTAGAAAATAAATAAAACCTTGCATTCTTCTTAGTGTGCTGCTGTCAAGTGTACTGCAATTCAGCAAGGCTTTTAAGTAGAACTAAAAGTTATTCAAATGCTCCACTGAGTGCTTTGCAGACTATGATGTTTTGCCCATATTTAACAGAAGCACTTCTCCACCATACTTCAGGAGCTTTCCTGGAGGACAGGTGGCTGATAAAGTCACACAGACAGAAAGAACCCATTCCCATGGTATTTGTTATCCAAGCAGGACTCTGTCTTCTCACTGGCCTGCCAGGTATGTCAGGGCTGGGTGGGGGTCTCCTGTCAGGAGCTGGAGGGCTGGGGGGTGGCAGTGCCATGTGGCATGGGGTTATCTCCTTGCTGGGCAGCACAGTCAGCCCTTCTCACCTTTGCACTTGTCAGCAGGCTGCCATCAGGCCTTTAGGTACCGGGTAAGGTAGCGACTGGGGAAAAAGAAGCAATCTCTTTAGCAGCTTCTCACTCCCTGTTGTATTTCTTGATCTGCTGACAAACCTCTTGGTTTTCTGATATTTATGGCTGTGCTCAGTGCTGAACTGCTAATTGTTGCTGCTTTGCCGAGAGTGACAAGGACGTGTGACAGCTAAACACGATGCAATGTATGGGAAGAGAAGGCTGTAAAGCAATTATGGAGCAACACTCTTTTAACTCATGTTATATTTGTAATTTAATATATTCGTATCCCATTATTAAAACATGAGGTTCTGAATAATCTGTGTAAAAGTCAGGCAGTTCGGGCTGCAGTTCAGAGACAAACAGCGGCCCACCAACACAGGCACTGAGCACAGGAATTTACTGTGGAATGGTGGTATCTGTTATGGATACGTTGCCAATGAACAGAAAGGGAGCGATGTGAAAACGTGGTGTAACGATTTATGTTCATTTAGCTATTAAATTTAGGTTCTGTCAGGTTCTGTCTGTATTCAGGGCTGTTGCTCTCAGTTCCTGCTCATGTATTGCCCGGCTAAAGGCAGCGTGTGCACAGCTCTGCTTTTCAGCACAGAGCCATGGGAGGGACCACACGTGTCCACTTCTCTGTCGGATGAGCCAGAAGTGGAGCTTAATCCCCAGCTGCTGCTTTACCTGGCATGGATGGTACTGGTTTCCAGGCGAGAATTAAGAAAGTGTAAAGAGAAGTAAGCATGATCTGCCACGACGACTGCAAAGGAAATCAGAGCAGATCCAAGCTTGTAGCCATCACAGTGTCAGCTCTTGTTCAGTGCTGGAAGTACTAAGACAATGTTTCATATCTTTAATAGCCTGAGATGCCCGTAGGCTGCAATAAAATTCATCTTTTGCACTGTAAATCTCTCCTCTTTAAGCTTGGAAGAGTTAACAAATGTGCATAAAATTGAAGTGAAAGTGATTAAATCTCACTCTGAGCAAGTATTGACAGATCTGCCTTGCTTTTGGATGCTCTGGGAGCTTCTTTCTTTGTGGCCTGTGCTCAAGATAATGAAAACCAGCCAAGTGATGAAACATACATCCAAAGAGGATTTTTCCTTCTATGTATTTGTTTTTTATATGTTGTTGGCACAGGCGATACAGTCACTCTGATTTCTGTCATCCACTTATGGCAGAGGATGGGTCTAGACTACCACTGCCCCCCAACCCGTTGGGCAGGTTGGATAGTAGCTGAAGAAGGAAGAGTTCTGATAAATTCTTGTGTTTCGAATAAGTAGTGTTTATTTTCCCTGTGCAGATAGACAGGTCGTCTTCATTTCCATAAGCTGCAGTGAGCTGTGGGCATGTTCTTCCCACTGGGTTGCTCAGCTGCAGGCAGTGTGAGGGCAGCTTGAAGTGCCTGCATGTGAGGAGGGTGGGGATCTGCTTCCTGGGAAAGGCTGTTGCGTACAAGATACCAACAACCAGTACTTAACAATTGTCATTTAATGTCTGCAGGCATCGCTTGTTGGTATCTTGAATGCAGTCTCATCCTTAAAGTCAGTGCCATGAAATGCCAGGGCTTTGTGGTGACTGAGGTGCCTCTCTGTGCTCCCAGCAGTCCAGCTGCTAGCAAATCGTGTGTCAGTTCCATTTCTGACCTTACTGGAAAGTGTTGCTCTTGACTTCTTGCTCATTGAAAGTTTCTGATTACTTTCATATTGAGAGTAAGCGTAATGTTCACAGAACTGCCCCATCCTTCTGTCACAGTAATGTGTCATGGCATGTCCAGCATTCTGTGCATCCCTGGAGCAAATCTTCACATCCTTTTGGAAGTGTGACAGCCTCCAGTGGTTTCCAGTGTAACGTGGACCAAGCAATTTCCATTTAAGTGGAGCAAAGTTAAGGCATAATGTAGTGGGAGCTGAAGAGCCCTGTGCTGTGCTGTGCTGTGCTGTGCTTGACAAGTGTGTGAACGCTTACGTGAGGTGCTTACCTATGTCAGGCCCCAGCCTGGAGGCTGTTTGCAGTTTAGCTCTCCTGTCTGTATAGATGGCGTTGTATTCTTCTCCCTCTAACATTGTTGCCATTTACCACAATTAGAGAAAGAAGACCCTTGTCACCAACAGCAACAGGTAGCTTCTTGTAGCAGGAGGTCACCTTCTCTGAAAACAAATTACAAGTTACAAATTCTTCAAGAGGAAGTACATGTGCAAATAAGCAGTCGATCTGTGTCCAGAATGTTTCCTTTCCTCAGGGCAGCCCGTATTTAAGAATAGCTGGCAGCCCACCTTGCTCACGCGGCTTGTTTGCTTATTTCTGAGCTCAGGAAATGGGCTGCAGTTGGTGTGTGTGTCTCTGCGCTGGAGCTACCATCCTGCGCTGTGCGTTCTGCATAGCACAGCTTCTGGCTCACCTCCAGTACAGCCAAGTCAGTGGCCAGCTGAGGTTGACATAATTATATGCATATTAATTACTATGTATATGTAACTTGTGAGAAGACAATCTGTTTTCATTGTTGGAAAGCCGTTGTCTACTGACTCAAACAGCAGCATGGTGAATGAGATCTGTATCTGTTTCCCAGTTACAGAACAGGGCATGCTCATGTATCACGGATTAAAGCATGGTGAGTGCTGGTAATGCTGATGTTTCATTAGCATTCCTCATCTTCATGTAAATTAATTTCTTTGAGAAAAATCAAATCTGTACCTGCTGCTAATTGCCCAATGGTAATGAAGAGCTGACACTCGTTATCGAGGCAGACGGTCGCTCTCCTGATGTCTTCATATCGGAGCTTCTCTGGAAGGCTTCAGCTGGGCTCCGAGTTCCTGGCGTCAGTGCAGGAGCAGCTGTGAAATGCAGCAGCTGCGTAACGAGAGATGTGGTCTCTTCAGTCTTAAGAACAGTCTTAAGAACAGGGAAGATCATCTTTGCTCTCCTAGAATTACCATGAAGCTTTCATTAATCACTTTATCAGAATTATGGGTGATACTTCTATCATGTACATTTTTCTGTTGAAACAGAGCAGTTCCAGAAATAATTTTATTGTCTAGGACTGAGATGCATGGGGCTCATCTTTTCACAGAGAGCTGACAGGAGTACACACTATCAAAGTATTTCTAAGGTGACTTCACTTGGCACTGGTGGTTCCTGTCACATTGAAAATGAGAGATGAGATGCTGTGGTGGAATTTAGGAGAAAACTCATTAAGCAAAATTTCAGGGTTGCTGGATGGTAAAGTGAAAGCCCTGTAAGCGATGGAGGGGTGACGTTACACGAACCAGCCATGGGAGTATCACAGTGTAGTTCTCTATTATAGGAACTCTGCTGCTGTTTGAAATTGGAGCATGTAATGGATAAAGCTGAAGTAGATCACAAAATAATACGCGTAATTACTTTGCAACCCGTTTCCTGATTACACATTTTTTTTCCAATTGCATTTTACCTCTCTTCAGCATTTAATGGTATACCATAGTTTATTGGATATTTGCGGTCTAGTCTTGCAGGATAATGAGTTTCATCCTCCCGTGTGTTGAACACCTTCACACCCCAGAGCAGTTAATGGGAATTGAAGATCAGCATTTTCCAGGATCAGGCCTTGACTGAGCAAACAGCACCGACTGTTGTGTAGAGCATGGCAGAACAGATAAGTGGAGTTTCAGAGTAATGCAATAAAGCTCTTTAGCAGAGGAAGACCTTTTCTTCAGTCGCTGAATGCAGTTCAACTCAAAACCCCATCAGCTCAGGGCATGTAGTCACATCCTCATTACAGAATCTGCATATAAGCAGTGATGTTTTTGTTAACGTGCCTGATGGAGAGCGTGCCATCCAAGTCCCTAAGCTGTCAGTGCTACCAGGGTACTACCCTGTATTTTGCTCAGTATTTAGCTGCAAATATTTGCAACTTACTGACAGAAGTGGGAAGCATTGTTCACAATATAGGTACTGGCTGCTTTTACTAATTAACGTGTGCGAACAGATTTAATTTGAAGGCCACAATTAGGAAAGCTGGTGCCTTGACCCCCAGAAATCCCAGAAGTCATAAATCTGGAACAAGAATCACTTTTTCCCTCCCCCTCAAGACAGCCAACTCCTAGCCCAGGAGATGCAAGAAGTTGGAGAGAATGTCATCATGTCATCACTGCTGGAAAAAGTCCTGAAATCCCACGTGGGATCACAGGGTGCCCAGCAGGTCACAGCAGAGGGAAGGGCTCCGTGCTCAGCACTGGGCAGCGCTGGGTTCTGGGGGCTCCGGTCGGCTCCGCGTTCCTGACCGGCAGAACAGCAACAAGCCTCCCCACGGAGGCCTTCGCCGGCCGCTCCGGTGACCGTTTCCCACTTGTCTTTCAGGCCCCGCTGCAAAAAAGAAGTACGTCAGTTATAACAACCTGGTTATCTAAGCCCGGCCGCGGGCGCGAGGACGGAGAGGACTTCCATGCACTGCGGCACGGGCCTCCAGCCGGCCCCGCCGCCAGCTGCTGCCCACGGCCGCTCCGTGAGCCCGGCGTGCGCTGCGCAGTGAGCTGCGGCGTGGGGCTGCAGCCCGGCCCTGCTCCGCCGCGGAGCTGCCGAGCCCACGGCACGGAGGAGCGCTCCCCGGCACTGCGAGGACTCACGGGGGCTGTTCTGTCTTTCTATGTACTTCCAGACTGCGAGTTTTTGAACTTTCTGTACAGTTTGTGAGGATTTTTGCATACCGCCATCCATGTTGTTTCCGGGTCACTGTTTTTGTTTTGGTTTTGTTTTTTGTTTTTTTTTGAATGCACAGTTTCATTGAGGCCCAATTCTCTGAGACCTAGAGCGTCAAAACGAACAAAACCTAAGGATCCGAAAGACCTGTGTACATGACCTGTATGGTTACTATTGTATCGCCGCGATCCATGTATTTTTTTTAACGAAACAAAAAAGAATTTAAAGACCAAAAACTGTGCTGGCCAGGTGAGCCCCCCACGTCGATGGCTGCAGAGGATGCAGATGGGAGTTTTGCTGAGTTTTAGTACAGGTCTCGATATTTGGAATGCATGCCAGTAATGTATTTTATGGTACATGTTAATAATTTATGTTTGATATTTGTATTTGTGTTCTATTTTGTTATTTTATTTAAGGTATCTGACTATTTTGCAATAATTTCAATAATTCTTATGGTATTTGGAAGGAAGAATATGGCTTTTACATGTCTTGAGGTTTTTCTTTGTTGATGCCCCACCATGACTGACCAGTGTGGTAAGGACTTACAAAGCATGTATGTTTTATACTGTTTGTAATAAGTAATTTCGTTAATCTTGCTGCTTATGTGCCAATTTAGTGGAACCAATCTTTGCCGCGACCTCCTCCCTTCCTTTCCATTCTCTCGATCTTGTGATATTATCCAAGAATGTATCAATAAAGGGTTTTGGTTAACTTTTTTTTATTTACTCCAATAAATATATTTTTTCAGTTGCTCCCTCCCCCTTCCCCCCTTGTGACTACACTTTATTTCGTGACGTTGCTGGAGATCCCAACCCCTTGGGGCTCTGAGGGGCCGCCAGCACAACCCCATCGCATCAGCCATGGGTGTGGGAGAAGAGTGGGAGGAGGCTGGGGAAGGAAAGAAGGAAAAGGCGAATCGCAGTGCAAAGTGCTGGGACCTAGACTGAGGGCTGACGCTCAGCTGCACAGAGAGCCCACCTCACCTCTCTGTGTTTCGCAGCTCGAGTGCTCCCTTCAGCTTTTGAGTCTTCTTGGTGACGTTCAAGGATATTCTTTCCAACAGACACTGAAATGCAGTTAAATCAACAAGTAATCAAAGTCAATCTAGTGGGCAATTGTTGAGAGAGCTGGGGGGAAAGGAAAAGCTCTGCGACAAGAGGTGAGAGGAAGCTCTTTCAGACTGCAGCACAGCACCTGCAGAAGCTGCTTTGGGTGACATCTGACGATTGCTTTGCAGAGCATTTAGCCTCCCATTTTCTCTAGACAACTTGATCAATTATACTGATGAAGTTAATCAGCATCAAAAGAGACTCTGACAGCTGTGGGACAGCCCCAGTGCATGGCGATGAAGACCTCAGTGGCAGAGCTGGACTGACTGCAGGGCAGCCCTGGGGCCCGGGGGTGCTGCTCAGCCTTCCGTGGCTGTGCTAATATTCACAGATACAGCCATTAATTGCAGCAGACAAAAGATGACATCCAAGTAAAGGCTTTGTTAGCAAGAAATGAATAATCAGCCCAACAAATAACGAAAACAGAGTGGCTCTGCAGTGTTATCTGTTTTCTCTGCACAGAGCATAAACACAAGGGCAGAGACAGCATCAGGCTGCAGTAAGCGTGCAGCCACCAAACTCTAAGACTCCTACTAAGACCCTTTATTTTTTTTTCTGAGTGGACAAAAATTGGTCTGTTGGTTTCTTCCTTTTTTTGAAAGGAGGGGATGAGGAGGAGGTAGAGGAATGGATGATGCAGGACTGGGGTGCTGTGCATTGAAGGTGGTTCTGTTTTTCAGTTCATTCTCCCAGTTCGTGTTGCATTAGATCCAGCACAACCCCAAACCTGGGTTAGCACAGAGTCAGTCTCAAATATCTGGCACAAATAGCTTTCCAGTAAACCAAGGAGGCAATACCAGCCTTTCCCCGTGTCAGAGTCCTGCTGTGCTGGCTTTGCTCCCTGCTATTCAGCACCTTCTGTTGCAGCCCTGTGGTGCAGTCAGGCCCTGTGGACTCTGCTCCCTGCAGCACAACCTCCACATGCAGACCTGTCCTTGTGCACCTCTACTGTACCACATGTATTGGTGAAGGACATGAATAGCCACCTATGTATGCATGAATCTGCATCTAGAGATAACTGTTTGTGTCGCACACGCAAATAGAAACACAAGCATTTATGCATGAATGTTGGTGTTCTAAAATGTGAGTGCGTTAGCTGGCTTCTGGGCCACCTCTCCCTCTCTGTATCCAACCTCTGGAGGGAGTCACAGAGGTGAGAGCAGAGCTCTGGGGCTCTGCCACAGTGAAGGTGTGAAGCTGCAGAGTGTCTGCTTTTCCATACTGCACGCTTCCAAACCAAAACTGAGTCCTTACCTCCATTTGAAACCTGTATTTTACAAATGGCAGTGCTTTGCAGCACTGCAGTGTTACCTTTGTTTTCAGAGCATCTCTAGCAGTCCTATACATGGGTGCAGTGGTGTGCCTTGCTGTCCCCATCTGCTGCTGGCACAGGCGGTGTCACGCACATGACAGCAACATGCAGTTTCATGAGGAGGAAGGACTTTGTTTAGACAAGAAGAGCTGGTGGAGTTTCCTTCACAGAAGCCATGACCTTGTGCCAGTGGGCATGGTGAGACGTACAGCAGGATAGTGCAGCACAGGTACAGACAGACAGACGCTGGAGGAGCATGCATGCAGAGTAAGAAGGGACCATGTGCACATGCATGTGAGCTGCAACATGGTGGTACCCACCTGAGCACATGAGAGTAGTGTTCCTCACTAATGTTGTGGTACACACCACAAAAAAGACCCACTAACAAAGTCCTGAGGGAACAGAGTGTTGTTTTTTGGGGTTTTTTTATGCCATTTATTACAGAGGCTGAATCTTGTCCAAATTCTATGAGTGAGTTAATGCCATGTTTATTGTTCATAAATATTATTGCGCAGTTAAGCTTTCTGGACATGCTATGTGATGGATAATGACAATTATTTAGGCTGAGTCAGAGCTTAGTTTTCATTTGTGACATTAATTGCCTTTATATATAATTAAATGCACCATAATACAGCCATATACAGAATCTGTGCATCCATGAAAGTGCTAATCAAATGTTTTTATTAATTTCTAAGAGCTCTCTGTAAAGGCTTTGATACAGTTGAGTGTTTTCCAGTAAACAGTCTATTGGATAAGATGCTTAGCAGAATGTTTTGATAATTGCTCTTTGTGCTAGATGTGCAATTAATACTATTAATGCCGTGTGAGGGTGGGGGGAGCGGCGCTGCCTCCCTGCTGCTCTGCATGCTGGGATCCCAGCAGTGCTGCCAGCACAGCGATGCTCCCAAGAGGCAGGTTTGGGTTTGGAGTGCTCTGATGGAGGTGTGTGGGCCGTTAGGAAGGGATTGGGCAGCAGCATCCCAGGCCATTCCTCTGCTCTGTGTTTCACACCTGCAAGTGTAAGTTCCTGCAAGCAATTTTAAACCCTTGACGTGGGTGTGATGCGTGTAAAAAAACACTCATGGCTTTTGGTCTGAAGAATTGCAAGCAGTGCAGTGAGCACAGTTGGATGTCAGTGAGCAGATGGTGGCAGAAAAGGATGGTAACCTGTGGACACTGCTGCCTGCACACATCACGTCTGGTAGGCCCTGAGCACTGTAAAGCAATAGAATGAAATAGAGAAATAGCCGTTTTTTCACAGGGATATGAAGAAAGCGCTTGACATTCCTCACAAAGTCACTGCTCTGGTGGGTATTTGTGAACCATTCTCATTTCCAGACTGGGCCAATGAAGATGTGCACACTGAGGCAGGCACCCAGGGGGCTGAGTCCAGGATGCTCATGCCCAATGTCTTGCATTTTTTGGCTGAATCAGATCTTAGCTTTATTCAATGAGAGGAGAAGAATTGTTTTTAAACCAAGGTTTTCATGTGGTGGAATGCTGCCCTAACAAACACGGCTGGATCCCAGGGCAGTGGGTGGCAGCAAGCTGTTCTGCTCAACCCACAGAACCCCAGCTGTGCCCACAAACCTCGCCCTGGCCGGTAGCTCTGCATCACAGGACAGCTTGGCAGTGCTGTGCCTGACCCTGGAATCCATGGCACTGCAGCCGAGGGCTCTGCCCCAGGCAAACTGCACAAAAATAGGGGAAGAGATAAAAGTGCATGAATTACAAGGCGTATCTGAGCCCTGGCTGTGTAGGTAAGGGTTGTTACAACAACAAAAGAAAGAAGTGAAAGGAGAGCATCTCATGCCCTTCGGCTGCTGCTGGCCAGGCAGCCCCATGCTGGGGTGTCCAGGCAGACCCAGGGCTCGGTGACGGCAGGAGCACAGCCAGCTTGCAGACAGAAAAATCTCAGAGTGAATATTAATGGCTGTGATCTTAACCCGGCATTATTTAAAGCTGAAATGGTAAACGTTTACTTAGAGCCAGCAGGATTTTTGCTTGTGCAGATCATTTATCTTGGGCCAGCATTGGAGCTCTGTCATGTGGGAATTTGGGGAGGGCACGGTGCTGATGTGATGGAGAGGCCTGTGGTGGGAGCCCCCACTGCCACAGGTGGTGGGGACCAGTTGGGTTTCTGCAACCACACTGTCAGGCTCTAGGTTTTAATTTGGGCAGGTGCTCAGGGCTTCAGCTCCAAAGAGCCGGGCTCAGTCCCTGCTGGGGGAAACACAACAAGGCTGCTGCTAAGCAGGCTGCTTTTAATCCTTGCCGGTGCTTTTACCACTCCAAAGGGTAAAAATCTTCCTTAATCTCAGGGACTAAGCAAAAAA